AGGACCTTTGAACATTTGAATCATCCCAAAACACAACACCCAGGTCATGTTTGACTCCTAGTCGTGGAATGGGATCCCTTCCTGCCCTGCTAATGGCTTTGGGAAGCATCTTCTTAGTGACCCCCAGAAACAGGGCACTGGGCTGGAAGCAATTCTGGAAAGGACTCAAGAATGAAGCAGACGGTTATAGCCATTGATGCAAGCTCAGACTCTCTTTTGAGCAGCAATACGTAAGCTTAGAAAGACTATTTTTGGGGCCTAAGCAAAGCAAGTTCTCTCCTCACTGAGGAATGCAGAGTCCCCCGACTTGGAAGAGCATTGATAGAACATGGAATCATAGGGCTGGAAGGCACCTCAGAGATCTTCTAGTCCAATCGTTGCTCTGCTCAATGTTTCTGGCTTCTCACCACCCAAACCAATACCTCTCCATCAAGCTCCACTTTTGTCCTACACAGCTCCTGTCAGGCACTGCCCAGCCCTCTTTTCTTCCGTCTGCATGAATGCTGGGCCTGTGACCTAGCAGAGGCAATCCAGGATGCCAGCCACAAATGGCTTAGGAAGATAAAAGGGGAGCAACCCTCTCCGGCAGCTCCTCCCCAAAGCCTCGGCCTGCAGCTGTCACTTCTAAAAGTGGCCAAGGAAGAAACTCACTCAGAAAACATGGAGAGCGAGGTGGCAGCCACTCAGTCGGGGACAGAGCAGTTTTTAACGGTTGCAGGGGATGGATTTAAGAAAGAGCAAATGGCAGGAAGCGGGAGGAAAACTATCAGAGACAGAGAGAGGCGCCAAGCTGAAAAGACACTTGCAAGAAGCTAGCTTTTCCTCCCACTGACTTGGAATAACAGATCAAGAATTTGGGATTTAAATTTCTCACAGCAAAGTTGTATTTATGCCAGTCTTGTTAAATCTTGAAGTTGTGTGGACTTCAATTCCCAGAATTCCTGTCAGCAAAGCTGGCTAGGGATTCTGGGAGCTTAAGTTGACGCATCTTACAGTGGTCAAGGTCCAAAAAGACTGATTTATACCCTAACTTGATTAATTATTCCAGATTATGGAATATGCCCCTAATGCCTATGGATCACAAAAACAAACACTAAGGACTAGAAACACAGCACATGCTCCAGCCTCAGCCAAACCTGCTGGCTTCTGAGGAGCGCATCAGAGCAGCCGTCTTCTTTTTCTGGACTTCAGTATTTGAAGACCTCCAAAGAAGGGAGTGGGTGTCACAAAAGAAGGAAGCTGCCACTGGGCCAGATTATCACTCTGTAGGTCTCTGGACCCAGTCCGGGGAACCGAGATAAAAGTCACTAGGCAGCAAGATGAATGAAATGCCGCTGGGAAGCCAGCAAGGATCCCTGAAGTCTTATCCAGGCCAAGACTCTCATCGAGAGACTCTGACACAGCTCTGGGCCAAACATTTGGCACCTCCAGCAGCTCCACAGAATACAGAATACCAGAGTTGGAAGGGAACTTGGAGGTCTTCTAGTCCAGCCCTTCTGCTCAAGCAGGAGACTCTATACCAGGGCTGCCAAAGGCCAGAGGCATCACGAGCTGCCCACGCCCGGTTTAGCAAAGGGGGGGAGTCGTGATACATCACGTGACGTGGACAATGTGAGTTTGACACCCCTGCCCTATCCCATCCCAGACAAGTGGCTGCCCCCCCTCCTCTCCTTGAAAGCCTCCAGCGATGGAGCAGCCACAACTTCTGGAGGGAAACTCTTCCACTGGTGAATTGTTTCTCACGGTCAGGAAATTTCTCCTCACTTCTAGGTTGGCTCTTTGAAGACCACGATGACCAAAAAGGAAAGAGGGTCACAAGAGTCCTTCAGATTCACCAATCGGCCCCAAAGCTTAGGAGAAGCTGAGTTTCTACCCATATAAACAGCCCAAATGAAGACATGGAATCCCTTCTCTCTCCCTCCAGGCGTGTCTGAAGTCAAGGAGTTACTACTGCGCTTACTGACTCATGGGCAAATCTTTCGCAGGAGGAAAGCTGTGCAATGACCAAAAATCAGGCAACTTAACTCTAACCCCGGCTGCATCTTTCCAAACGAGCCAATTTGATTAAGAGGCAAGAAGCTTTTTTTGCATTGCTTAGAGCGAGCTTCAGCTTACCAAACTTCATGTCTTTTAATGAAATGTGTTAGTCTGTTGAACTCACAAAACACTTGCGCTTTTAGTTCTGCGCTGAGGATTTCCTGAAAGCAGCCCAGCAATATTTATTTATTGTTCTGGGAAATCCATTCCTCAAAGTTTCTCTCTCTAGGTAAAGACACAAATGTAACTCACCCAACAAGAAGAAACAGTAGCTGATCTACTCAGGGTGCATGGATGGGCAGAGGGGAGAGGGAGACACAGCACAAACAGGCTCTCTGGAAAGCCACAACCTGGGTCTGCCCTGCAAAGCTCAGGTCCTTCTGGCACACGCACAAGCCAGGATGGCTGAGGAAAGACCCCTCCCCCACCTGGATGTGACCTTTCCCCTAAACGTATTTGCCACTGCTCATTCAGGAGGCAACTCAGGAGTCCTCGACTTCCAACCATACTTGGGATCGGTCAAAAGTCATTGCTGTTGAGGCACCGCGTGACCGGACCTGGGGGGGTTTTACCCATTTTTATAGCAGTCATTAAGCAAATCACAAGGCCATTAAGTGAACCATGCAGCCATGAAGCAAATTAAGGGCTACAATTCCAAAACCATTTTCCCAAGCAGAAAGCATGGTCATGTGACCATGATTGTAAATGCAAAGCACCCAAAATGTGGTCCTGTGACCACAGGGGAGGGGCAAATCAACATTTTACAACAGCTGGAATTGTTTTACACGCCATCAAGTACCTTTCTGAGGCATTATAACTTTGGGACTCCTGCCTGAGCAGGGGGTTGGACTAGAAGACCTCCGAGGTCCCTTCCAACTCTGTTATTCTGATTCTAACCCATCAGTTGTAAATTGAGTATTACTTGTATGAATAAAAATCAGTCATTTCCCCCAATGGAAAATTACAAGAGCACATGAGGCATTCATCCATTTTAGCAGACAGCAAGGAAATTTAACTGAGCCTTGAACTCTAGCCATCCAGGTGAGAGCTGTAGTCGAGTCAAAGCAAAGTCAGCCTTGGCAGAAGCATACCAAAGCCCATGCATCATCGCCCAGCCAGGAGGGAACAGGGTACTGGCACACCTATAACATTTCAGAATGATTAATTACAGGTGCCAAATGAACACAGCCACACCCAGCACCAGAGAGATCCAGGTAACACCAGGAGTAGCAGAAGGAGAGTTGCCTCCTGGGGTGGATTTATTTGCACACTTCCCATTAGTCCACTTATCACTAACAACGTCCTTGTAGGACCTTCACACTCATTTCTCAGGGACCTTTGCAAGAAATGTGAAAATGATCAATGCAGAAGCCAGGAAGGTTCAGCTGAACACACAGCATGTGCAGGAGTAATCTGCACATCAACCGTCACAGCTCGGTTGTGAGTAAGCAGACAAAACTAGAGCTGCCAAACCTGCTAAGAATCAGATTGGCAAATGGGAAGCCCAAATCATGAGGTTATTTAAGGTCAGGAATGTTAGAATCTAAACTGGAATCTAATTTTATCTCTTATGCACATGTCGTCAACTGGATGTTCCACATTTTGGGGGGGTTCTGTGTTCTACACAGCAATTTGGGGTTATTTAGCTGCATCCTCCTGACCCACATTGGTGCAGCTCAGGAGTGGGCAGCTCTGGCCCCTTTACAACCTGTGGACTTCAGCTCCCAGAATTCCTGAGCCAGCTATGGGATTCTGGGAGTTGAAGTCCACAGGTCGTAAAGAGGCCATAATTGCCCACCCCCTGTAGCTCCACCACTGAAAAGCATCAGACCCCATCAGGAAGAACTCTGCAGGCAACCCACGGAGGCCCCTCTCCTCTAAACAAGATCAGGCGTGTTGCTGATGGGGCAGCCCACCTAGGACACTCGTCCTCCGAAGCCCCTTTTCCAGGAGGCCCTTGGGGGTTCTGATGCAGCCCCTGCCCATGGTGCCTCATGAAGAGGGTGCAAAGGAAGAGCTCTACCCCACCCAATCTTGGCACTGAGGGGCACAGTTGGCACACTGAACATGAGACCTCCCCCAACTCCCTCCTCTCACTATGCCAGGAAGACCACAACCAAATCTGGGATGGCCCACAAGAAGGCAGCTGGTGTGGCGCCATTATAGTCTGAGGGTGTTGTGTTCTCCCAACAGTTAAAATCCTAAACCCCCCCCAAAAATAAAACAAACACAAAACAAACATTACAGATTGCATTTAAAAAAACTAACACACACATTAACCCACCTAGCTAAGTACTGATTAATACATTATAATATTATTTTCCCATCCCCTGCAAAAAACAGCCCCCCCCAAAGTTTTAAACTACTAAGTCGTCTACCACACACACACATTCCTACAATTTTTCCGCTGCTGTCACCAACTACAGTCGCGCCTTTTGGACTTTTCCGAGCCAAGGAATCCGTTAGTCAGAAGCGCGCTCAAGAGAGGCCCTGGCGGCCTTCAGGGGCCCCTTTTCTCGCCTTCCGAGGACCCAAAGCCCGCTTTAAGGCTCGCCCTCTGTCCCGGGAGGCCCCGCCTTGGCCGGAGGGGGATGCCACCCCCGCGCGGCCGCCCCCAAATGCAGCGACCCGCAGCCCCATCCTGGGCGCGGTGCAACTGGCCCCCAGTGCCCGGTGGGCAGGCTTTGGGGTCGGACGGCCTAGGAGTTACACACGTTCAGCGCCACGCCCGACCGGAGAGGGGAGCCCACGCGGGACCGGCCGGCCAGGGAGCGGGGGGGGCTGTCCGGGGCTGCCTCCGCGAAGGAGGATCGCGCCCAAAGGCTCCCCGCCAAAGGCCGCCGCCTCAAGGGCCTTCGGGCCGAGGAGCGCCGGGCGCTGCGGCTGCCATTTTACGGCCGCTTGGCCGGCCGGCCGGCCCTGCGCCACGGAAGCGGGCGGGCGGGGCGGGGCGGGGGTCTCACCTGGCCTTGAGCTCCTTGAACTCCTCGCGGACCTTGGTGAGCTCCAGCTGGAGCCGCGCGCGCTCCTTGGCCACCGAGTCGAGCGTCTTGCGCGCGTCGCCCAGCTCGGCCTCGTAGGCCGCCTTGATGCCGACCACCTCGCGGCTGACCTCCTCCTCCGACTCGGTGATGCGCAGCCGCAGCCCCGCGTTCTCCGACTCCAGCGAGCGCACCTTGTCGATGTAGACGGCCAGCCGGTCGTTCAGCTCCTGCAGGTCCTCCTTCTCCTGCAGGCGGGTGATGCGCGCGGGCGAGAGCGGCGTCGAGGTGGCCCCGCTGCGGGGGCCGCGCTTCTGCCCGGCGGGGGTCTCCATGGCGGCGGCGGGCGAGGCGGGGCTGGCGCGGCTCTCCGGCTGACGGCGGCGCGTCTGAGTCACTCCCGGCCTGGCCGCCGCCTCAAATACCCCCGAGAGGAGCGCGGGGCGGGCTGGGCGGCGACGGCTCCGCCCCTCCCAAGGACGCTGCCCAACCGGGCGCCGCCGAGCCCCCGAAGCTCCGGGCCGCCGACGGAAGAGCAGCGGGGCGGCCCGGGAGAGGCGGAGGGAGGGGAGTGCTGGGAGTTTTCGTTGCCTGCGCGGCGCCTGCCGGGTCGGCTCTGAGAGGCTGAGTTGGGCGGGCTCCTTTCCCAGAGGGCGAGTCCCCCCGCCCCCCCCGGCTCTTTCGGGACGAGGCAGCCCAGCCCGCCGCCCTTTCGCTTTCCCAAGGCCGGGCTTCCCGTGCGGCATAAGCCATGGTTTATGGTTCAAGCACCGTTGGCTTCTCCGGGGGGGTCTGCGGGCGGGGCGAGAGGATCGGCCGGTGGCCGGGAAGACGCGCTTCAAGCGCTACCTGGCTTTTTTAAGGCTATCGCAGCCGAGCTTCAGTTGCAACTGCCTGGCTGCCATTTTGACTTTTTTGCCCGTACCCGGGAGAAGCCCCCTTCCTGTGCCATCAAGGGGCTTTGTTGCCCTGAATTCTCTTCTGCAAGACAGAGACCCCCCCCCTCTTGGGTGGGATCCTGGGGGGGGGTGAGTAGAGGGACTTCTGGGGCACCCAGGGACCCTGAAGGCTCAGCTGGGTTGCTATTTTACCTATTAGACCCCCCCCCTTTGAAGGGGGAAACGGGAACTGGGGCCACCCAGTCTTTGCCCAGCCTCCCTTTTCTCCTGCCTGGGGAGCTAATGAGTGACAGCCCTTCAGAGTGATGCCTGCCAGTCACAGTTGAGCTTCCCTCCTTTGCTACCAGGAGTGCATCAAGGGGTCCTGAGGGGTGACAGGCAGGCCATCTGGGGGTCACACACTCACTGCATATTTGGGGTTTTGCGGAATGCAGGCCCTGCTGGACATCAGCCATCAAAAGGCTCATTTGGGGCATTTGGTCACGAATAGCCTGAACTTGGGATCTTGCAACATTCTGGAATTACAAGGCTGCCATTTGCATCCTTCCCAGCCAGCTTCTGACAGTCAATGAGGGAATCCAGGTTCACTTAATGACTGTTTGATTTAAGGACCACAGTGATTTGCTTAACAAGTGTGGCAAAAATGTCATAACTCATTTAATGACCAACCTGCTTAACAGAAGTACCAGTCCCAACTGTGGTCATAACTCAAGGACAAACTACTCATAAATATATGTTTATAAATGTTCAATAAATAAATATCAATTTCAAAAGTATCAATCTTCCTAACTTAAAGCCCCACCACACTGTCCAAATTAACATCTTTCCCACCCTTTCAACCAAAATTGCACCCAAGGAGTCTAGAGGCACATTTCACAAGCCCATTCCCCCGTCCCTTTTGACGGAGCTTCCCCCAGGAACAGCAGGAGCTCCCTCCGTTCCTTCCTCCCTTCCTCCCTCCCTCCCTCCCTCCCTTCCTTCCTTCCAACCATCAGCCTTTGCCTCACTTCGGTTTCAGCCCACATCATTTCATCGGGTTCATTTTCTTTACCCCTTTTCACTTTGCTGAACGTGTCTTGTTCCATGACTTGCCACAAATTTTGGTGGAAAATCACCCTGGATTTTCTTTGTTTCTTTGCATTTTTCCAATGTCCTGCATTCTTTGCAGCTCTTTTCCTCTTTCTGTAAGATCTATATCATTCATTTCCCTTCTTTGCCTTGTTCATTCCATTCTATGCCCTTTTTTCTCATCTATGGGGTCTTTCCCTTCACCCCCCTCCCACACTTTGTTTTTCATCCATTCTGCACCCTTGTTCTTTTCATTCTGTCCCAAGCAGCTTCCCTGCCCCCCCTTTTCTTCCCAAAGGCCCACTGTCAGGTCCCAGATATTTCCACAGGGAGGGACGCTTGGAGAGGCAAGACCTTACACCCACTTTCCACACAAACTCTGTTGGGAGACTAGACGCTTTAGAGAAGTGGCTGGGAAGCAAATTGCAGTAACAACTAAAATAATTTATATTACAATACATTTTAATTTCAAACTCCTACTTTTTCTCCCTGCAGTATTCAAATTTCATTCCTTTCCTTCCATATCTAGTTTTTCCCACGATTCCTTTGTGACTCTATCACAAAATAGCCTTCCCAGTTTCAAATCTCCTCCCGCCCTTCTCTAATTCTTTCTATTACTAGAACCAAGCAGGCCAATCCTGCACTTGAGTCCCACTCACTCCTTGCCATAAGAACAAGGTGTAGTGGCGATGGCATCAGGTGAGAAACCAAGGGGCAGTGTTCTAGTTCTGCCTTGGCCGTAAAAGCCAGCTGGGTGACATTGGGCGGATCATCAGGAGATGGTGAGTTCTAATCCCACTCCTGGTATGAAAGCCAGCTGGGGCCCTCTGTCTCGGGCCGGTCCACCTCACAGGATGGTTTTTCTGAGGAAAATAGGAAGGAGTATTTATGTATGCTTGCTGCCTTGAGTTACTTATAAAATAATAAATGTAGGATAAAAATAAATGAACTGAATTGTTAAAGCTCCTGTTTGAAAAGGGCAGAGCTGCTTCAGATTCCATCTAGCAGGCAGCATCTCATTCTTAGCTCTCCAAATGTCAGTGTTACTTTTTCCTTCCTCTATTGTAATCCTCATCCACTTATTCTCGATCCATTTCTCCCGGATTAGATTCATTCAGAGGGGTGGACAATTTCCCCCAAACTTATCTCTGGTTCTTCCGTTACCACTGTTCATTGGAGGCCTTTACAACACACAACCAGGACCCATTGATGCCCACCTTCACACAGAATGACAGGGTACAAAGGGCCTTATGAGGTCTTCTAGCCCAACCCCCTTCTCAAGCAGGGGAGAGAAAAGAAGAGAGGTGACTCCAGAGTGAATTGTGGCTACTTTGAAGGTTCTCCATGCCCACCTTGTGCCCAGCCGCTCTGCCTGTTGGCACTTCCGGGGCACCTGTTTAAAGCAACTACATGAGCCTCCCCGGAGATGCAGCTCCTTTTGCAGCTCAAAGCGCATCCTTTGCGCTTTGGGCTGAGGTGGGTGGGGATCCGTGTCTTTCCAGCACTTTGCCTCATCCTAGTCAGAGACGTGGCGGCTGCTGAGAATGTCTGAGGGTCTCTGAGGAGACGTGTCTCTCCCTGAGGGGACAAGCCAACCCCACTCATGCCAACAGAAGAGGAGGCCTGCTGAGGATCCTGTCTGCTAAGGAAGTGGAGCAGAGGAGATCAAGGAGAGGCTTTCTGCTGTGGAACACTCTGCCACTGAAGGGGAGAACTGCCCCCTCCCCTTTGGCCTTCTGGTTTTGCTGGCTTGACCTGGGCCCCGAGCGGGGTGCTCACCCCAGGAGGGGGCTGGTGGGGTAAGAAGACCTGATCTCCATCCCGCCTGTCCCTTGGCTCTTATAGGTCTGGTTTTAGTGCAGCTTTTAATGTTTTAATCTGTATAGCTTTAATGGTTTAATTTTTTAATTATTTTTTACTTGTTTACTAGAGCTGTAAGCTGCCCAGAGTCACCTTGTAGGAGAGAGGGGTAGCATAGAAATGTAATCAATCAATAAATACCTTGCAGTGCAGTGATATGGGCTGGTTATGCTGGTCTATGACCATAATAAATATTCAATTGGTTTGATTTGATGTAAACTGGTGGTGGGATTGTGCTCAAGGTTGTAAGGCCCTTGAGAGTTTGGGCTGCAACAGGCAATCATGGAACACTCCAGCAGGTTCTGACCAGTTCTGGAGAACTGGTAGCGGAAATTTTGAGTAGTTCGCAGAACCGGTAAATACCACCTCTGACTGGCCCCGCCCCCTTCTAGTCTCTGTCTCCCGAGTCCCAGCTGATCGGGAGGAAATGGGGATTTTGCAGTAACCTTCCCCTGGAGTGGGGTGGGAATGGAGATTTTACAGTATCCTTCCCCTGCCACACCCTCCAAGCCATACCCACAGACTGGCAGTAAAAAATTTTGAAACCCACCATTGGAACACCACCAACCCCCCGAGACAAATTTAGCAGTGCAAATCACAGGTGTTGGGGGGCGGGGGAGGACTGCAGTATGTAATCCTTGTGCAGTATAATCCTGGAAACAGTGGTTTGATACTGGCACAAAGTGTGAGGACTGAGAGACTTCAGGATGCAAAGCCCTGCAGAGCAAGCAGGTGAAGAGGCTGCCTCTTTAAACAATGAACATTTAAAACTAATATCCTATGTGTTTTACACAGGCATGCACAGATATTCCATTAAAATACCGAACTGATTCATGCTATAAGCCACCCAGAACAACAGACTTGGAAGGGACTTTGGAGATCTAGTCCAACCCTCTGCTCAAGCAGGAGACCCTAACATTACAGACAAGTGGCTGTCTGCTTTCTTCTTAAAAGCCTCCAGTGTTGGAGCACTCACAACTTCTGGTGGCAAGCTGTTCCACTGGCTAATTTTTCTCACTGTCAGGAAATTCCTCCTTAGTTCTAAGTTGGTTTTCTCCTTGAGTAGTTTCCATCCATTTCATTGCTTTGTTTTGAAATGAGATGAGTTGCAAATAAATTTAATAAATGCACACATGAGTAATAAATAAACCACTTTTGGCAAGATTAAAAGAGTTGCAGGCAGAGCTGCCAGTCGGCTTGGATTCCTTCTGTCCTCTGTCTTTTTACTTGCCAGAAACTTTTTTCCAAAATCCTGTGGGAGGGGATGCAATGGGGCCCCTCCTCCCTGGCTGTGTCTCCTGCTCCTTCTCTGGCTGGGATAGGCCAGCCTGGTTCTCCAGGAGACCAAACATCCTCACAACTTTATGGAGAAAAAAGCCAGGAGTAGTTTCCCAGCACCAGAGGAGTGACTCACTCGGTGGCCCTGGCAACACATACGCACATGCAAACACAGACAGACACACATGCGCACACCCAGAGCCTTCGACCAGCAGCATGCCTCTCCCAGACTCTGCCAGGGTGAGTCACCCTGATGGTT